GATGCATTAAAGTTTTATATAGAATCTTAAGAGCATTTTTCTTTTTCTTTTAGGTATGCCTAAGAGAATAGTTAATGCCAAAATTGCATGCCTTGATTTCAGCCTACAGAAAACTAAAATGAAGCTTGGTGTTCAGGTGCTAATCACAGACCCAGAAAAACTGGAACAGATTAGACAGAGGTATTCTATAGACACAGCTTTTTAAACTGAAATGATGCTGATTGGCAGCTTTGAAATAGGAAAAATAAATCAATCTGTATATTTCTATCATTTGTCCCACTTAGTAAGAGAATGGCATCTTAAATCCAAAGTTTGACTAAGAATGTGACAGTATTCTGTCAAACATTCTTTCTATATCCAATAGCTACATTAATCTGTAATTTGCAAGATCTGGTTAAGTTTAATTTATCATTCCTGTACCTAGTTTTTTAAAAGTTAGTAATGCCTTTTATTTATTGATAGTATCCTGAAATATCTCCCTTGAATTAGTGTTAAAAATTAACCAAAAGATCCAATGTAATAATGGAGAAATAGATTTCATCTATACTTGAATTTTGAGGGAGGCATAGTTAAAGTATTATTTTGACACACTTCCAACAATTTTATTTAAAAACTTTTGTGATTCTCTTGAATTTAAGTTCATAGTATAATCGGTGTGCACTTTCTTATGCAGAGAGGCTGACATCACTAAAGAAAAAATTCAGAAGATCTTGGTTACAGGAGCAAATGTTATTTTGACCACTGGAGGCATTGATGATATGTGTCTGAAATACTTTGGGGATGCTGGTGCTATGGCAGTGCGCAGAGTTCTAAAAAGAGACCTTAAACACATTGCTAAGGCTTCTGGAGGTAATTACAGGCATCTCTAAATATGATCACAGTTTACATGTCTTGTCAATACAGAGCTTAATTATGTAGAACGGGAGCCCAACCCCTAAGTCCATAGCCTGTTGGGAAATGGGTTGCACAAGCAATGGATGAGTGCACAAGCGTATAAAGCTACATTTGCGCAATAGGTGCACGTGTGCAAAACAAATCAAAGCCCACCCTGCTGCTGTCTGTTCATAGAACCAGAAAGGTTAGGATTGCTGATGTAGAAGATTACTAATGTTCCTTCAGACTAGTAGATATATACAATTGTGATTTTATCAAATCTTTTTTACTTTGTGTTAGCCACTGTTTGTTCTACTCTGGCAAATCTGGAAGGTGAAGAAACTTTTGAAGTGTCAATGCTGGGACAAGCAGAAGAGGTGGTTCAAGAACGAATTTGTGATGACGAATTGATTTTAATTAAAAAGTAAGGAAATACCTACCTTATATAATTTGTAATGAATGCATTTTGTTGTAACCTTTGAAAATATTTCCCATTTAATTGCTGCCATGCTATTTTCAAATTGTATGAGCAGTTATACGCGTGGGATAGATTGATTTTAGTCCCCCTATAATGTTGAGACAGTAAATGTCTTGACTTCGTTGATGGACTTGGACACACTCAATTCTACCATTTTCCTACCCTCAAGGTAAGATAATTATTTCACAAGGAATTTTTTTCTCTTTCTGAAACAGTACTAAAGCACGGACCTCAGCTGCTATTATATTACGAGGAGCAAATGACTTCATGTGTGATGAAATGGAGAGGTCTTTGCATGATGCTCTTTGTGTAGTCAAAAGAATATTAGAGTCAAAGTCTGTTGTACCAGGAGGGGGTGCAGTTGAAGCAGCACTTTCCATTTATCTAGAAAATTATGCAACCAGCATGGTAAGTATTTAGTTAAAGTTTAAATTAAGTTTTTCTTAGGAAATCAGACTTCTATTAATATTCAGTCCTATCTATATCTGAAAAGTTTATAGAACTGGGACTGGAGGGGGCCATTTAACTATCAAGTCCTATATCCTGCTTGGTGCAGACCATATTAAAGCTTTATTTATGGTGGCTATCCAGTCTTCATTTCAGCACATCCAGCAAGTATAGCTTCATTACCTCTCTGTATTATTTCATCATATATTAACTTAAATATTAATAAAATTTTTCTTCAAATTAGGGGTCACGGGAACAGCTTGCTATAGCAGAATTTGCAAGATCTCTTCTAGTTATTCCAAATACGTTAGCAGTTAATGCTGCTCAAGATGCTATAGATCTTGTTGCAAAGCTCAGAGCATTTCACAATGAAGCACAAGTGAATCCAGATCGCAAAAATTTGAAGTGGTAAGTGTGCATAGAATTGATGGCGACATGAGAATATTGATTTGCTTTATGCATGTTTGCTTAATCTTGTTGAATCCGAATTGGGCATCCAAGGTCAAAATGATTTCTAGTTTTAAGATGCTAGCATACAGTTTAAAGAAAGTGTTGGTGTTTGGTCTTATATAATGTGGAGTGTTCTTGATATTTATCAGAAGAAATGGAGTGGTATGTGTATTTGGGTGTGCAAAATCTAGAGATTGAGGTAGAATTTGAGGCCACTCCTCCGCCTGACTCCCCGCAGATTAACCTCAGTCTTTGGCCCAGAAAGAGTACTTTTCTGACTCTCGGCTTGGCTTCAGAGGTTTTTGCCTTAAGGTTTTAGTTCGTGTTTTTTCCTACTTGTGATTCCTCCCACCTCTCTCCCTCGAGTCTCTGTACTGCTGCCTTTTTAACTTTTTACCTTTGCACAAGCTGGTCTTGCTGCACTAACAGGAGTCCCGCACCGCTGGACAGTTAGAGAGGAGGCTCCGGGCTGTGAGCTTGAAACAAACTTTCCTTGGGACTTCACAAACGTTTTAATTTGGAGTATTAACTTCTGGAAAACGTATGAACCTTAGCAGAATCAGCATGCCCTGACCGGAAATTGCCATTGTTTGGAATATTTGGATTTTTTTATGCTACACATTATCTATTTACCCTATATCAGTGATGGTTAACCTTTTTGGTACCGAGTGCCCAAAGTGCGCACCTGTATCCCCAAAATGCAATGTGAGCTTGTTGATCAGAAAGGTCGGCAGTTTGAATCCCTAGTACTGCATAACAGTGATCCCCCTATTACTTGTCCCAGCTTCTGCCAACCTAGCAGTTCAAAAGCATGTAAAAATGCAAGTAGAAAAATAGGGACCACTTTGGTGGGAAGATAAGTGTTCCGTGCACCTTTGGCATTTAGTCATGTCAGCCACATGACCCTGGAGATGTTTTCAAACAGCACTGGCTCTTTAGCTTTGAAACAGATGAGCACCACCCCCTAGAGTCGAATGACTAGCATATATGTGTGAGGGGAACCTTTACCTTTATTAAGTACTATTTGATTTATGTTGCATTTGATGCTGAAAAATTTGAAGTTGTTTCAGGTTCAGGTTTTGAGAATACTGAAGACATTTGAAATGTACATTCCAGTTTAAAACACTATTTCTTTTTCTTTTTTTAAGGATCGGTCTTGATTTAATCAATGGGAAACCACGTGACAATAAACAAGCTGGTGTATATGAGCCTACTGTAGTCAAAACAAAGAGTTTAAAGTTTGCAACAGAAGCAGCAATTACTATTCTTCGAATTGATGATCTTATTAAGTTGCACCCTGAAAGTAAAGGTGAAAAAGGAGGATGCTATGAAGATGCAGTTCAATCTGGAGCAATTGAAGACTAAATGAATTTTTATTTGCCTATTCCTGTGAAATTTTCTCAAGTCTGTATTAACTAGTATGTTGATGAAAGCAAGCTGTCAGACTTCTGCATAACTAGCAAATAAATGAAATATGGCCATATTT